CCCGACTGTGCGGCCGGCTCACCCCGCCCGGGCTCGCCCCCGCATCCCAAGAGCCCCGGGACGTGACCCGGGTGCGACTCTTCGCCCCTAGCAGTCGGCGCTGGGCAATCTGGGCTCGGGACGTGCCTCGGTCTTCTCCCTGGTCTGGTTCCTTTCTCCCTGGTGGGCCCGGCAGGTTCACTGTTCTCGACTCTGTGTCCTGAGTCTTCAGTCGGTAGTAGGTAAGGTGGTGTGTCATTCCTCCATATTTTAGAATACTATTGCAATTTGTCACATCAGTGTTTCCCCCAAACCCCCGAAAAGCGGCGGCATGTGCCTCGTGCTGAGCCCCTCGGTTGGGTATTTTTATCACCGTGATTTAAATGAGAGATAGAGCTCAGAAGCCCGAGCGAGTCCGATGGTGTTTGCTTTTTAAAAGGAAAGGGGACATTGTCTGGTGGTGAACTCAAATACCCCAACAATGCAAACGTAATTCTCAGTCATGTCATGTGTACTGTTCGCGTGTTAATTTTTCATGATTTCCCGTTCCACTCTGTTTCACTGCCAGTCTGTGTCTTCGAACAGTGCTACTGCCTTCATGCACTGTTGGTCACCAGGGGGACCTAGTAGACATTGTGAGTAGCTGAGCGCAAATCCATCACCCCATTGGAAAAACAACTACAAATCAATGCCTCGCGTGGGCCAGCAGTGTTGTGTGCATTCTGAGGACAGTATTCCTTTACCACTTACATTAAAAGGCTTAAAGGTGTTGATAGATTATTTTGGAACAGGAATTCATACTCAGCTGGTGCTTTTATAAATCATTTTAAAAGTTGAGAAGAAACCATCATGGGGCGAGCTGATCTTACATTTTTGTTTGGAAATTGCATGTATAAATCATTATCCTGCCATAGGTGATGTACTGCAGATTGGAAGCATGATTTGACAGCCCATAATATGAAGGGTGCAGGAGTAAAACTGAGCACTTGGGGTCTGCAGCAGCTCCACCAGTAGTAATTGTGCCTTGAGTAACCGTGGAGCAACCCAGTCTAGAATTCAACCCGAGCCAGGCACCTTTATGTGAGCAAAAAATTACCTTTCCAGACTATCCCCAAAATAAGTTTATTGGGCTATTTAAAATGTTTTTTGTTTTTACTAAAACTACCTAGCTATTTATATTTAATTTCTTAGGTTTTGTGTGAGACTTTGTTTTAGACTTTGATTCGTTTGGCCCTTAACGTTCTCCACAGATATGGCTGTGACATTTTTTTGGCACCATAGCACAAGAGCTTTTAGATTGGCTGAGTTAAGATTAGTTTTACAAATAGTTATGCTTCCATTAATGGCTATTTCTATATAATGATTAAACAAACTATATTGAGTATAGTATTTGAGATAAATTTAAAACTTTGGAACCCAGGGGATTGGTATTTTAAATATTGTCTTGGCATCCGTATTTATTCCCTTTATGAATTTTCTTGTTGTCTCTTGCCATACTGGTTCATTTTAACCAGTTAAAAGAAAGGCCTTCAGATTACCCAAGTGTCATACCTTCTGTTCGTTATTGCTTAAAGGCCTCACCTCTGCTCTTTCCACTTCTACCACTAGATGCTTCAACCTCTAAATTGTTTTGGGCAAAGTCAAAATAAAATATTTTCAACTGAGACTATATACAGTGCTTCAGTTTCTCCACCACTGAAGGTTGAATTTCTATATACAGTAGTACTATACCTTTTTTATTTTTGAGAATAAAATGTTCCTTTAGGAGCAACAGAAGGCATGAGAATAAGAGCTGAGTTTTGTTCATTTGTGCATCTGGTTCATTGTAACCTTGAAAAAGGTTTTTTAACTTTTTGGTTCCATAGTTCCCATATCATGAAGTGGTGATTATAGTTCTTAGCTGCTTGCATCATATGAATGTGGTGAGGATAAGATGAAGTTAAATTGGTTTCGTTACCTCTTTACTACATTTTTAATAGAAAAGTGCATGAACTTAAGTGGTAAGTACATATAGATAAATATGTTGTTTTCCTTCAGCCAAAGGTCCCTGGCTTTCTACTCCCTCCTTTTCTTTATTTATTGGGCATTTATTGACTTAAATGCATGATATGACTTATTTTATTGACTCAGTCACTTAATAAATATTCGTTGGGTGCCTGTCACATACCAGAAACTTTGTGAGGTGGTAGGAATTCTCTGGAAGCTAAGCAAACACCTTTGTGGTCCTCCTGGAGCTTAAAGTCTAGTCAGGGAGATAAACATTAATCAGATCATCTCAGAAATATATAGTGACAACAGTAATTGCTATGAAGGAAAAGGAAGGGAGTAAAAGACTGCCTGAGAGGAAGAGAACAGTTTATTTCTCTCTTTTAAAAGTATTTTACTATGGATTTTTTTTATACTTACATAAAGCAGGAAAGAATAATCAACTCTCGTGTACCTATCACCGGCCCTGACCAATTAGGAGTCTTTTATTTCCTTTCCTTTCTTCATATCCTCCTTGCCAACTACCTAAAGGATTTTGAAGCAGACATTTACAAATATATCATTTCATCCAAATACTTCAATATATATTTCTAACAGATAAGGATATTTTTAGACATAATCGTACTTCCATTATCATGCCTAACAAAGTTAATAACAATTTCTTATTTTTTCTCCACCCTCCTCCTAGATATGCATTACCTTGAGAGGACTGAGTAAATTTGATTTGCCATCATGGAGTGGGCTTACTGTGATTTGAGAGGGTCTCTTGGCAAAAAAAACCCAAAAACTCCCCCCTTACCAACTTGTTCCTACTGGAAATTCTTCATTTGAAGGAAACTAATTCACATTTCATGTCTTGGGAGAATGTCTTAGGAAATAAATGTTTAGTTTAATATTTACATGTGAATGTATTATTTTAATTTAAAATGAGTGTGTAATTAGTCAACAGGTATAAAAGATCTTGTTTGTTTGAGGGTAGGGGAAGGGGTAAAGAGTACAGAAAGAATTGTATTTCAGAGATGGGGGAAGAGAGGAAGGGCCCAGCAAGAAGAGCGAGAGGTCACAGAGAACAGCTTTGTATACGTGCAGTTTTGCAGGTTGTCTTCAGTTGGGTGGGATCAGAAAAAACAGTTATGTCCTGAGGTGTTCAGGCCTTAAGGGTTGCAATTACTTCTTCCTCCCACAGATTACAGAAAAAAATTTTAAGCAGTTGACTTAAATATAAAGGAACTTCATTTCAAGTATTTTCATTAACACAGATATCACTGTGGTAATTGATAATGCTTCTAGAGAACTGTGCTGTTATGCAATTAATTATATATTTTCAGCTATAACATGGATTAAATAGGCATTTATGGACCAATGTGGAGCCTAATCACTGTTTATAGCTTTGTTTATATAGCAAAAGAGATTCTACTGCTTGTGAAGATAAGAACTGATATGGTATATCCATATAGTAGAATATTATTCAGCAATAGAGAGAAATGAAGAACTGATACATGCTATATAACATCGATAAACCTTGACAACATTAAGTATAAGGAAGAAGCTGGTCACAAGAGATCACATATTATATGGTTCCATTTATATGAGGTGTCCAGAGTAGGCAAATCTATGAAGATAGAAAATACGTTAGTTGTTGCCTAGGGCTGAGAGGGTTGGGGGGAAATGGGTAAGAAGTTTCTTTTTGGGGTAATGGAAATGTTACAAAATTGATACTGGTGATGGTTGCACAACTGTGAATATACTAAAAATCATTGACTTGTATACTTTAAATGAATAAATTATATGGTATATGAATCTTATCTCAATTTATAAAAAGAACTGAGTTTATTTTATTGATCTAATCCTTCTCTCTGTGCCTCGTTGCAGATTCTACCAATGCCAGCTTTTTGGGTACAGAGAGTACTTTTTTCCAGAGGAGCGCTGTAGGCATACTCTTTGCCTATGCCACTTCACTCTGAGTCAAAAAGGCTTGTGACCCACCTAAAATAGATAGCCAACAAACATTTACCTGAGCAACAAGCTTTTTGTGGCAAAGCATTCTTCCCAGAGCACACTGACTTACCCTTCCATCCTTTTCAACTATTTTTTTGAAAACTTATCTGGGAAATAAATACTTCCTGGTTTGGCTAAATGTTGTGGTACATTCAGAATAGTTGTACAGAGTAGAATCAGAAACTGGATATGTTAACCAGTTTAGACCATTTTTAGGCAGCGTTTT